AACTGTTCTAAAAGTCAAATTCCTCAAAAAAAAAAAAAAAAAAAAAACCTCACTATATCGAGCTAGTGTGTACGCACATTTGCTAACACAAAAAGGCCTAGAAAGAAGTGAGCATAAGTTAGAGGTTTTTCGGTAGCTATGCCCCATATGCCCAAAATTACTTGTTCAAAAACTCTTCAAACTGCTAATCATCTGTCAAGCGATTTCGATAATGAAAATAGAAAAAACTGTGATATAAGAATAATGGAATCGCCAGACTAAGTGCATATGGACAATCCGTTTAAGATACTCCGTAAGTTAAGCAGCACCCACATGGTCAGCTAAACTAGCCTAGATTTCTTCGTCTCAATTTATACGACACTAGCTCTCCCCATCGTCTACACCAAGTGCCCGTGATATCTTCAAGGATGTAGAAAGCGATTTTTACCCTCTCCGAAACCAACCACTAACGAGAGAAGACTAGAAAGTGCGTAAAAAGCGAATAAAATTTAAATGTGCCAATCCAAAAGAGGAAAAGCGACGGAACAGTTACCTGTGTAAAGCGATTAACAAACGATTTCGGAAGTTTTCTTCGATTACCTCCCTGGGAACAGGGATTTTGGCAGGCGAAAAACCGTGTTTTTTGCACTGCATTTCCATCAATTTTAAAAGTTCGGCTCAATTCGGGGATGAATAATTGACGGCGATGGTCGAAACACGCGTTCATCCCCTCCAAAATGCTCTGCGACGCTAAATTCATCTGCAAAACAACAAACTTATAACCATCGATATTGAGCATCGCAGTTAGCTGGTTGAGAAAAAGCAAATTAGAAACTCAATGCTCAGTTTCTCCAACACTGCTATCTGGAAGAAAAACGTATAAATGCGAAAATGATCGTTGACGACGTTTTTGTGTCACAGGCGAGCATTAATAGGGTGCAAATAGTGATGGAAAAGCGATACAGCTAACGGTGCTTGAACTGCGTCTTTTCGCCCCAGCCAACATACCCAGTGAACTGCTATATCACCCACGAGCGGGTCCAGAAGGAGGGGAGGGGGGTGGAGGAGGAACGTGACGAAGGGTTTTTCGCCCCCCCCCCCTACCTCCCCTCCTGTTCCCAGCGAAACAGACACGAGTGCTGCAAAAACCCGGGACTGTTCATAAATAAAACTAAAGTAACTCTAAATAACACTGTTACAACTCTGTTCCTAGTTTTACCATAGTTTCAGGGCAAATGGGGGCTCTTTCCCCATCCCTCGTCTTCTCTCCTCTCCCCTTCCCCCCCCCCGCCCTGTCCTCCCACTCCAGGAGTCCCTCCCAGATCGGTCTATGATCTCTCCAAAGATATAGTAAAAACTGCCATAAGGGATGTGTAGGTCATTTTGTTGATCAGAAGACAGGGTTAGATAGCGTACAGCACCCACGAGAAAACGGGCTCTACTGAACAGTTTCTGGAAGTATGCCGAACGCATGCAGTGGACATGGAGGGAAGCAAATGAACTCGGTATGGTCACGCTCCGCGTATCGTTGCAGCTTTCTACCTAATAATTTGGGGGATCCAAATCGAAGTCCAGGATGCAACCTCCTTTTCCTCTTCCGCCTTCCTCACCCATCTGCTTCTATCCTTC